CTCTACCACTTGAGCCACAGTGCCACTTCCGGCTTTTTTCTTATGTGGTGCTGAGGAATCAAACCCAAGGCCTCGAGCATGCAAGGCAAGTGCTCTACCACTGAGCCACCTTCCCAGCCCATACCCAGCTTCTTTTCATTGGGATAAAGCTTCATGAACTTTTCTGTCTGGTCTGACTTGAAACTGCAGTGTTACCAATCTCAGTTTCCCACATAGCTTAAGATGACAGGCATGTGCCAGTGCACCCAGCTATGGGTTGTGAAGGGGTCTCAGCCTCTCAGATAGCTAGGATTACAGGCCAAAGGATACCTGGCTGAAATTTCTAACAGGTTTCCCAATGAGGCTGCTGTTACTGATCTGTTCTCTCTCTCTCTCTTTTAAAGACAGGGTCTCATTATCTAGCCCAGGATAGACTCAGACTTAATCCTCCTGCCTCAGCCTCCCAAGTACTGGGACCAAGTGTCTGACATCCATGTCAAGTTCCCTCTCTCCTTCTCTCCCTCCATCCCTCCCCATCTCTCTCTCCCAATGCCAGTACTAGAGTTTGAATTCAGAGTTTTTTCACTCAAGGCTGGTGCTCTACCTCTTGAGCCATACCCCCACTTCTAGCTTTTTGCTGGTTAATTGGCGATAAGAGTCTGTGAGACTCAGCCTGCCTGGCTGGCTTTGAACCTGGATCTTCAGATCTCAGCCTGAGTAGGTAGGATTATAGGCATGAGCCACCAGCACTCAGGTTGGAAACCATTCTTTGAAGCTGCCCTATATCATCCTTAACTCAGTAGATACAGCTACAGCACACAACCTGAGCCTGGGGTGGTCACTAGGGGAGGAAACAGGCCTTGTGGGAGTGAAGAACTGATGGTCTGGACATCTGTCTGCCGTGCTGACCTCTGCTCTCCCTCCAGGCCTCGATGATTCCCTGCAGGATTATCCATTTGAAGACTGGGAGCTACCTGGCAAGCACCTGCTCCAACTTTGCCCCCGCAGCTTAGAGGCTCTGACCGTGTGGCCCCTGGGCCATCAGGAGCTCATTCTACATGGGGTAGAACAGCTCCAGGCCCTGGTGAGTAGGCTCTGGCTACATTGGCTGCAGCAGTCACCAATCTGGAGGTTGCCCATGCTGGCTGGCGGCTTCTAGGAGATGACCTACCCTTTTCTGGTGCAGAGCTCTGGGCTACAGACAGACAACCTGCAGAGCCTGACGGAGAGGCTGTTGAAGGGGACCCAGGCTTTGCAGAGCTTAGTCCAAGGCCACCTGGGCAATTGTGCAGAGACCCCTACCAATGTCCTCAGTGCAGCTGTGGAACTAGTATGTGAGGCTCGTGCCCTCCTCTTCTGGCTCAACAGGTACTAGGGTTGGGGTGACTGGGGAGGGGACCCTTCATATCCTTGGCCTCCTTCAAGGAAAGATGAAAAAAAAGCAGAGCTGGGCTCTTGATCAGATAAAGCAGCGTGGGTCAAAAAGTCAGTCAGAGCCAATAGGCTCCTTGGGTTCCTGTCTCCACCCTGTTTTTATCAACAGCCAGTAAAGGGAGCTTCCACTTCCTTCACTGTTTCTGCTTGTCTGTTGGTCTCAGGTGATACATCACTTCCCCAAGGAAGCTTTCCCTGTTAATCCACCCTCTTAGCTCCTTCAGGAGACTTGTTACATTTCAAGTTAAATCATAACTGACAGCTATCTAATGTTCACGTGACAAATAAGTCTTGGGCTAGGGCTAAGCTCTTTAAGGCATCAGTCATCTCTATTCCAAAACAAAACCTATGGGCAGACTTGGCCCCCAGCCTCAGCTGAGAAATCAGCTCCCACAGAGTCTTTTTTCCTGCCAGGTACCTCTTCTCCCACTTAAATGACTTCTCCGCCTGCCAGGAGATCGGGTTGTTGTGTGGGGAACTGAGCCAGGTCTTGCAAGAGGTAGGAACAAATGGTTCAGGCTTGGCCTATGCCCGGGAGCTTTTTATAACCCGTGAATCAGACCAGGATTCTATGTGAGGGCTGGGGCAAGAGGCTGAGCTTGCTCAGGAAAGGACGCCCTTCCTCTGGGTATGGGGTCTTGAAATGGAAGCTCTAGAAGTTTGATGCTTGGAAGGAGTGGCAAGGGAGACGATGCATGGCAACTTTTGTGGGCCTGGTATTTAGAGGTGAGGATACCTTGGGGTTGAAACTCTAAGGTCCCATAGTTCTAGGCAGGGGACCAGTTTAGGGGAAGCTGAGAGGGGTGGCAGGGTCATGTCCTCAGGAGACGGCAGCACCCCACTCCCTCATTCAGGGAGGCCCCTGTTCTCTTTCTGTTTCCAGGACTGTTCAGAGGCTGAGAAGGAGAGTAAAGTCCTGAGGATTGTGAGTCTTTGGGGGCGATACGGGGCGGGGGGGTGAAGATGGGGTAAAGGTCATCCAGATAACCTGTTTCCCTCCCCCAGTGCAGCCACGTGGCCGGGATTTGTCACAACATCCTGAGCTGCAGCCCCAAGGAGCTGCTGGAGCAGAGGGCTGTGCTAGAGCAGGTGCACCTGGACGACCCTTCCGTGAGTCTGGACCCTTCTCACTCCTAACCCCTTGGCAGCCTTGTCTGAGTCCTGAAATATGATCTAGGAAGCCCAATATCCCGTGCTGCTAGATGGAAGCCTACTTTATGCAGATGTTTAAACGGGACCCTAGAGGGCCCACCTGGCATCTCACCACTGTTTAGTACTTTCCCCAGTCCCAGGGGAACTACACCTGCATGTGGCCCTGGGTGGCATGCTTTACCCCTGTGACCCAGACATGAAAGGGCCTCAGGGGCAGGTAGGAGAGACAGGAGAAGATGGAAGCTTTCCTGCTTTTAATCTTGGCCAGATGGGAAAATCAGAGCCCCCAGCCTTCTCCCTGTTCCTCTCCTTTCAGGGAATCTGTAAGCCCAGAAATTATCAACCTAGTTTCCTTCTGGTCCTGTCAGAGGTATCAGCAGAGAAATGCAGCAAGCCCAAATCAGAAAGCAAGTTGGCGTAGTACCAATTTAAGGCCAGATCTGCCTACCTTAGAGTCCTGGTGCCTTGCAGAGATTATACCCACTGGCTTTGCTGCCCATCCCCCCAATCTGTCACTCAATGTAGCCTTTCCCTCCATAGGGCCTAGAAATCCACACCACCAGCAACTGCTTGCACTTTGTGTCCCGAGTTGGCACCCAGGTGAGAGCCCCACATTCTAAAGCTGTCAGCTGCCAGCCAAGCTGGCTTTCAGGCCCTGGAAGAGCTCACTCTCTAGGCCCCATTCCCCACACCAGGTCTCTTCTGACTCCCGTCTGCAGATCCTGCTTGGAGATGAGGTTGTGCAGATCAACGAGCAGGTGGTGGTGAGTGAGGGGGACCAGGAGGTGGTGGAGGGTGGTTGGTATGGAGTGGATCCTGGGATGGGAGGAGGGCAGCCATGGTTCTGCTCTTTGGGAAGATCAGGGTTGTAGATGCTACCTTCCACAAGATACGCCAGCTCAGAGGACAGGTCAGGCCCTACGTAGATAAGAGCCCCCATATTCTTCTCAGCCACCCTGCCCCCAGGCCCTCTCATCTGCCTGTGCAGAGCTTGGGTGAAAGCTTGTGAGGATCCCTGGAGGAAGAGCTCTGAGTACCAGAGCAAGAGTTGCTGAGCTGCTTCAGAGCCTTCTGCCCAGCTTGATACCAGCCTAGGGTCTCTGCCCTACCCTTGCCCTTATCTCCTAGGTGGGCTGGACCCACAAGAACATGGTGAAGGAGCTGCTGAGGGAAGCAGCTGGGGTCAGCTTAGTGCTGAAGAAGATTCCAGTGCCAGAGACCCCTCCACAGGTACCTGCTCCCCACCGCACCCCACCTGCTTTCATACCCTTGTCATCAATTGCATCACCCTACTTCTGGTTATTCTCCAGACACCCCTGGACTGCCCACATCTGAGAAGCCAATCATTGGCCCTGGCTCCATTGTCTCCCAGGTAATAGGCTCCGCCTTAGATGTTTCTTTCTTTTTTCTTTTTTTTATTGTGAAAATACCGTACAGAGGGGTTACAATTACATGGGCAAGATAATGAGTACATTTCTTACCAAGCATTGTTGCCTCCTCCTTTGTTTCCCCTTCCCATCCCTTCCCATCTCCCCCTGCTCCCCCCCACCGTCTTCCCCTACCCCCCAAGGTGTTTCTTGATTAGGATGACCAGGGCCTCATCTCATCTCCCCTTGCTCCCCCAGAGTCTCATCTGAAGACGTCTTTGCCTTCAACCTGACTTCAGACCCAAGTTCTGGGAGCAACCCTGCGTGGACAGGTAGTTTCAATGCCACGTCAGGTGGCAGAGGCCCTGGGCAAAGGTATCCAAGTGTCTGCCTCTGCCCTTAGGTGCATCAACCCCCAGGCCTGAGGCTGGGTTCATGGACCTCCTTCTCTCTCCCTGACAGACTCCACCTCCCTTGACCCCCAGCCCCTTTCTAGTCCTCCAGCATCTCCGGTCGCACTCCCAGCAGGAATAGCAGAGCCTCCACGGACCTCACAGCACACTGACAAGGCAAGATCAGGGGCTCAGTTCAGGGGTGTGGGCTCTGAACCTAGACCTTTTCTAACCCTTTTGTGGTCCTTTCAGAGTCCTGTCTTTGATCAGAAGAAATCAAAAGGTAATGAGTGCTCCTGGTGGGGTGAGGACCCCCATATGAGATGCTCTAAGAAATCTAGTGCTGGAGCCAGGCATCAGTGGCTCATGCCTGTAATCCTAGCTACTCAGGAGGCAGAGATCCGAGGATTGAGATTCAAAGCCAGTCCAGGCAGGAAAGTCCATGAGACTCATCTCCAATTAACCACCAGAAAACCAGAAGTGGCGCTGTGGCTCAAGTAGTAGAGTGCTAGCCTTGAGCTGAAAAGCTAAGGAACAGTGCCCAGGCCCAGAGTTCAAGCTCCATGACCGACCAAAAAAAGAAAAGAAATCTGGGCAGGACTACCCCACCCACTTCCCACACAGCCTCTCTGGAGACATGTGTTCAAGGATCCCATGCCCAGGTTCCCGGCCCAGGCCTCTTGCCAGTTCTGACTGAGCAAATGGCTCATCTGCCAATCTTTGGTTTCATCTCTAAACCAGTCACCCCAGTTCTGAGGTCACACCTGTGGGACATTCTGAGTCCAAAGTGTAGGGTCAGACAGCAAATTTGGGGGATCAAGATACTGTGACCACCTCTCACCAAGTGTCCTATGCTGTGCCATAGGTGTGGCGACAAGGCTGAGCCGCAGGCGGGTGTCATGCCGGGAGCTGGGCCTGCCCGACTGCAATGGCTGGCTCCTGCTGCGCAAGGTGCCCAGTGGCTTCATGGGCCCCCGCTGGCGGCGCTGCTGGTTTGTACTCAAGGGACACATGCTGTACTGGTACCGCCAGCCTCAGGTGAGATGGCCTTGTTCACTCACACAGGTAACCAGTGACTCAGCTCAGGGCCATGGTTTTTGTTTTGGTTTTTTCTCCTAGTCCCAGTGCTTGAACTCAGGGCCTGGGTACTGTCTCTTAGCTTTCTTGCTCGAGGCTGTTACTTTACCACTTGAGCCACAGCTCTACTTCTGGGTGCTGCTGCTGCTGCTGCTGCTGCTTCTGCTTCTGCTTCTCCTTCTCCTTCTTTTGGTGGTTAATTAGAGATAAGAGTCTCATGGATTGTTCAGAGTCACCCAGCTCAGAGGTGACACTTGTAACATTTTGAGCCTAAGACTGCTCAATCCTCAGATCTCAGCCTCCTGAGTAGCTAAGATTACAAGTGTGATCCAAGAACACCCTGCTCTTAGGGCCTCAATTCATATCTCTATTCCACCATTCTACCTACTCCTGTCATCACTGGTGGGCCCCAGACTTCCCTTGGCTCCAATCCCCATTGGTGAAGTGGGGATAGTGCTTCAGAGACAAATGAGCTCACATGTGTAGAAAAGAAGTTTGAAGTGGGTAGAAGTGTGACAGTGTTCTCAGCGTGCACATACTACAATTAGAATCCCAGCACTGGTGAAGGAGGGAGGAGGAAGAGAAAGAGGTATTGTTTGGAGAAGATGTAGAGAAAATCACTTTTATTCTGCCCATCTCTCCTTCCTCTTCTGATATTCATACCTAGTGATGACTTACCCAGTCATTTATTAGACAAATATTCAGGTGCCTGCTGAGCCCAGCTCCAGTCTAGACACTGGACAAAGAAGGAATTGGACAACTCCTACCCCTCTAGAATTTAGAGGCTGGCGGGGAAGAGGGATCAATACATATTTAGGGACAATGTGGGGAACAAGTGCTAAGAGGAAGGAAAAACCCAAAAGATTTGGATGGGAGCCTAGCAGAAGTATCTGGCCTAGTCGGAGGAGTAGTGAAGATTCTCTGAGAAAGCAATACTTGGGGGTTAATCAGATGAAAAGGTAGGGCATCTGCCTAGCAAGCACTAGGCTATGAGTTCAAGCCCCAATACTGCCAAAACAAGTTTTAAAAAAAAAGATGAAAGGAGGAAGATGTTTACAAAGCTCAGTGGTATAAAGCAGCTTCATGAGTCTGCAGAGGAACTTAGAAACAGACTCCTCTTGGCTGTTTCTCTGGATGTCTTGGTGGCTCAGAGGTACCCGTTGGCCACACCTCCTGCCCTGAAACTTGTGATTCAGCCTAAAAAAAAATCCTCTCCTTTCCATTGCCCTCTGGAGCCCAAGGTAACTAAGGAGCAGTTGATGGGTCCGAGGGCTTGGGGCTTCAAATGACCTTCATGCTGTGATTCCCCCAGGACGAGAAGGCTGAGGGCCTCATCAATGTCTCCAACTACAGTCTGGAAAGTGGCCATGATCAGAAGAAGAAATAGTTAAGTCCTGGGGTGTGTGGGATTGGGGCATGGTGAGAGAAATGGGGCAGTATGGGCTGGTTGCACGGCAGGTGGCTTGGATTCCTGATCCAGGGTCTCTGAGTTCTGGATAGGCCACCCAGAAGGAGGCTTGAGTGGTGGTTCTTGTCTTCTTGGCAGTGTGTTCCAGCTCACCCATGACGTGTACAAACCCTTTGTCTTTGCTGCTGATACACTGTCTGATCTGAGCATGTGAGTACCACCTCTCTGCTCTACTCCCACATAGCAAATCCCAAACTCCTGGGGCTGACCAACATGCTTACTTCTCAAAGTCTCAGTTCTATCATCTGTAAAATGGGTCAGAAATTCCCTGGGTGGTGAAAATCCCCTAATGCAAGTAGGGCGTCAGTGAATGGAAACGCCCTGAGAGCTGGTTGTTCCTCCACAGGTGGGTGCGCAGTCTCATCACTTGCATTTCCAAGTACCAGTCTCCAGGGCCGGTACCCTCAGCCAGAGAGGAAGGTTGGTACCTCGCAGGAAAGGGAGAAGGAGTTGGGATCTCACTTGAACCTCTCCCTTTCCTGAGATGGGAACTGGAACATTGTTGTTCTAACCTACTCCTTGGTCTCCCCAAGCCCCATGGGTTCCCCAACTGATCCTCCCCACCCACCTAGATTGCTACAGTGAGACCGAAGCAGAAGACCCTGATGATGAGGCCGGGTCTCGCTCAGCCTCAGTGAGTAGGGGTCTGTTTGGGGGTGGAAGGTTGGGGTAGACAGCAAGAGATGGGGCTCGGGCTATTGCCCTCCTCATCTTCTGTCCTGATTCAGCCTAGCCCAGCTCAGACTTGGAGTCCACTCCGTGGAGACACATCACCTGTGACCTCCCCAACCCAGCACAGCCCAAGGACATCCGTTGGGCCTCCAGAAGGTACTAAGCTGGGAGCTGGGCTCTGGGCTGGTGGCTGGGATGGACACATATTCATTCTCTCCCTATTGCCCCAGATGGCAGCGAAGAACTGGAAGGAATGGTAAGGGGACTGAGGCAGGGTGGTGTGTCCCTCCTGGGCCAGCCACAGCCCCTGACCTATGAACAGTGGCGAAGCTCTTTCATGCGGCGTAATCGAGACCCCCACCTCAATGAGAGAGTGCATCGTGTTCGGGCGCTACAGAGCACACTCAAGGTCAGCTAGGGGCACTGGGCAGGACAAGGGACAGGGGCTCTGGGCTTCTGGTATCTGCCTCTGGCTCCCAGTTTCCCTGGGCTTGGGACTCTAGGGTTTGGGTCCTGGTTCTCTGACTTCAGGACTCAATTCTGGGTTCCATGTTCCAGTCTGGGCTCAGCTGTGGACTGGGCCAATTTCCAGGTTCTGAGTTGGGATTTGAAATCTCACCCTGGCTCATGGGAGGCTGCTAGCCCAGTCCTGGATTCTAAGTACAAGACTCCAGATTCTGCTCTGGGCTCTTGTCTTTCTCTTTGTGATCATGGCTCCTCATTTCCTGCTCTCTTGACAGGCAAAGCTGCAGGAGCTTCAGGCCCTGGAGGAAGTGCTGGGTGATCCTGAGCTCACTGGAGAGAAGTTCCGTCGTTGGAAAGAACAGAACCAGGAGTTGTACTCAGAAAGCCTGGGAGCCAGGGGAGTGGTGCAGGCTGAGGGCAGCTCCCTGGCCCTGACCTCTGACTCTATAGAGCAGTCCCCCCAATCCCTAACCTCAGACTCTGAGGCTCCCTCCCATTTCTGTGCCGTTGATCCCAGGGAGCAACCTCCAGCCTCTTGACCTCTCACTCTAGCCAGTACCATATCACTACCTGTCTACAATGACATTGTTTCTGGGCTCTGTTCAAGGATAGAAACAGTACAAGTCCATTCTGTCTGGCCTCTGCCTGGATTTCCACTGTTTCTCCCCACCATGTGCCCTGGAGCAAGGCAAGGGGAACTTTGTTTCACCCCCTTGGTAAGGACGAAATTCTTCTGTCCAACCTGTCTCTCAGCAATGCTGGTTTCCCCTAGTTAAATCTGGACAGGTATTTATTCTATGTGAGATACTCTCTACTGAATAAAATCCCTGTATCTAAAATGAATCTATCTGTGCTCTGACTTTAGTTTTTTTTTTTGGGGGGGGGTCCAGTTGTGGGGCCTGAACTCTGGGCCTGGGCGCTGTCCCTCAGCTCTTCAGCTCAAGGCTAGTGCTCTACCACTTGAGCCACAGTGCCAATTCTGCCTTTTTCTGCTTATGTGGTACTGAGGAATCGAACCCAGGGCCTCATGCATGCAAGGCAAGCACTCTACCACTGAGCCACCTTCCCAGCCCCTGTGCTCTTACTTTAGAATTGGAAATCTACCCCCCAAAGGGTTGGGGCGAATGTCCTAGGCTGTGTGGGTCACTGGCCTGTGCTGTGCACCTAAAGTGCTGGCCTACCAGCATTAGCTCCTACTCATGGTCTTCTCACCCCAGCAGGATTGCCCATCCTATCTCTAGTGGGGACAGTGAGATACCTCCACTTAGTAGATTGGACATATACCTGACATGGAAGGGCAGGATGGGTGGCCTCAGAGCCCAGGGATAGGACAGGTAGCTGGAGGGGAGTGGTGCCCTGGGGGGAGAGTCCTGGCACAAACCGTGTGTGTGTGTGTGTGTGTGTGTGTGTGTGTGTGTGTGTGTGTGTGTGTGTGTGTGTGTGTGTGTGTGTGTGTGTGCGCGCATGCGCGCATGTACGCACACCACTACTAAACTTGAATTTGGCCCGGGAGCTATCCATTAGCTTTTTCATTCAAGACTGGCAGTCTATCACACCTCCACTTCTGGCTCCTCTGCTGGCTAATTGGAGATAAGTCTCACAAATGTTCCTAGATCTAGAGCTGGGACACAGGCCTAACTCTGTCCAGCAGGGACAAGAAACCAGTTCTGTTCCCATCAGCCTCTGCCTTCTGACCCCATCCCAGCAGCCCTCAGGCAGTGGAAGGGGTTCCTCTGGGGCTGGAATTCTTGAGTGGAATGTGGAAGGCTCCGGGGTCACAGCCACCTCTATGATCTCACCACGAGGGGGAGTGAGACTTCCTGCTGCAAAATTTCATTGAAGAGGAGGAGAGGACAAGTAACAGAGCAACAATGGCAGAAAACCAAAAGGCCTGGTGGCAGCAATGGACTGACACCACCAACGTCAAAAATTTGAGCAGCTTGGTAGGGGCCCCTTGCCTGGCTCCATCCCTAAGGTGGCACCCCAGGGTGGGCAGGGGCAGTGGCTGCACTGAGAACCCCCTCCTCTCTCCTGCAGAGGAACACATATGACCCCTTCAGCCGCCACGATGAGCAAGTGCTCATCAACCGCCTGGACATCACAAGTCGGAAGGTAGGAAGGCGGGGACAGTAGGAAGTAGGTACAGGCCCCTCCTGCAATGGTGCCCCTGGGCACATGTGCCTTCTGCCTAATACGTGCCTCCTAGAGGAACTTCCCTAGCAGGAACCCCAAAGTGACTCCCCCTGCCTGGCAGTGCCCCCATAGAAAACCCTATATTATGACAATACTCACTAGCCAAACCCCTCAAAAGACTCTCTTGCCATGATCTGTTTTAGTGACTACATAAATAGCAACTTGGATGCTTTGCATTTCATGGTCTCAGATGAGTTCCTTTTAGGCTCCCCCTAAACACAGAGAACCTTCCAGGTAGAGGCTGCCTGCACAAAGTCTCCACCCTCTCCTAGGATGCCTGGGACAAAGAGGAGTTCATCACTCAAATGTACGTCAAACACTTGTTGCGACATCCGACCTTCCAGATGATTCTGGCCCTGCTGCTGGTGACCAACGCCATCACCATTGCTCTCCGGACCAGCTCCTACCATGGCCAGGTGGGACCCCAGTTTTCCTTTTGTCCCCATTGGCTTGAATGGTGACCCAAGGCCACAGGTTCCTCATCTATCTTGAACTAGATGCTATATATCTTAAACTGTGTCTATTGGCCAGGGATCTGAAGGTCAAGGAAGACTTCACAGGGGAGAAGGCTCAGGAGCCTTGAGGATTGCACTGGATTTATAAAAGCACAGGAGAGAATGGTGTGTACAAGGGAAATGGTGTGTACAGGGAAATGGCTAACCTTTTGGAGAATGGTGTCCAACTTTAACAATCACTAAGAGAAAATCACCTGAGCTAGGTGCTGATTGTAATCAGTGTAAAATTCCCAGGTAAGAATACAATAGATCCAGTTATGGCCCCAGGAAGTCTCAATCATACCTTCACAAGTGCCTGAGTATTACAAAGTACATGGAACCTAATATGGAGGACAGAGAAGCCTTCCTGGAGGAGGTGACATTTAAGCTGAGAGTAAAGAATGAGAGGAGTAGGGCTGGGAAGTTGGCTCAGTGGTAGAGCGCTTGCCTTGCATGCCTGAGGCCCTTGGTTCGATTCCTCAGCACCACATAAGCAAAAAGAAAAAAGCCGGAAGTGGCGCTGTGGCTCAAGTGGTAGAGCGCTAGCCTTGAGCTGAAGAGCTGAGGGACAGTGCCCAGGCCCAGAGTTCAGGCCCCACGACTGGACCCAAAAAAAAAAAAAAAAAGATATATGGGGAAGAACAAAACATGAGACAGTTATTGTGTCTAACTTAAAGTCCAGTCCAGGATGACCTTGATCTTATCTTTGATGTCTTAATTGCTTTTTCCTTTCTTTCCTTCTTTTTCCTTTTCCTTTTTTCTTTTTCTTTTTTTGGTGCTGATTCTGAGGCTTGAACTCAGGGCCTGGACACTGTCCCTAAGCTTCTTTGTGCTCAAGGCTAGCACTCTATCACTTGAGTCACAGCTCCAATTCAGGCTTTTTTTTTTTTTTAGTAGTTTATTGGAAAAAAGAATCTCGGGCTGTGAAGTTGGCTCAGTGGTAGAGCACTTGCCTTGCATGCATGAGGCCCTGGGTTCGATTCCTCAGCACCACATAAGCAGAAAAAAAAAAGCTGGAAGTGGCGCTGTGGCTCAAGTGGTAGAGTGCTAGCCTTGAGCTGAAGAGCTGAAGGGACAGTGCCCAGGCCCAGAGTTCAGGCCCCATGACCGGGCCAAAAAAAAGAAAAAAGAATCTCATGGACTTTCCTGTCTGGCCTGGCTTTGAACCTCGAGCCTTAGCTCTCAGCCTCCTGAGTAGCTGGGATTATAAGCATGAGCCACCAGTGTCCAGCTTAATGCCTTAATTTCTTACAAGGAGTATCTATACATGAATGATGCCATTCAAATTCCATATGTCCAGAGTAGTGAGGGCAGATGAACTTAGAGAGATGATGAGAGGCCAGATCACACACAGTCTTCCTGTTATGTCAAGAAGGCTGGTCAGTATTCTATATTCTATATATCAGTAGAAGTCCAGGGCAATGTTTAAATCAAAGAGAAGTGACAGACATGTTTTAGAAAACTTGTAAGACTACACAGTGTGGAAGGAAGGGGATCAAGAAGAGGGAAGCCGGGTACCAGTGGCTCACGCCTATAATCCTAACTATTCAGGAGGCTGAGATCTGAGCATCGAGGTTCAAAGCCAGCCAGAGCAGGAAAAGTCCGTGAGACTCTTATCTCCAATAAAATACAAAACAAAACACTAGAAAACCGGAAGTGGTGCTGTGGCTCAAGTGGTAGAGCAATCACCTTGAGCTGAAGAGCGCAGGGACAGCGCCCAAGCCCAGAGTTCAAGCCCCATGACCGAACAAAAAAAGAAAAAAAAGAAAAAAGAAGAGGAAGAAAGCTGGGCGCCGGTGGCTCACACCTGTAATCCTAACTACTCGAGAGGCTGAGATCTGAGGATCTCGGTTCAAAGCCAGCCCAGGCAGGAAAGTCTGTGAAACTCTTATCTCCAATAAACCACCAGAAAACCGGAAGTGGCGCTGTGGCTCAAGTGGTAGAGCGCTAGCCTTGAGCTGAAGAGCTGAGGGACAGCGCCCAGGCCTAGAGTTCAATCCCACAACTGACAAAAAAAAAAAGGGGGGGGAGAGAAATGGATGGGGCAGGAGCCTATCACAGATGTCCAGGTCGATGATGGGATATAGGTCAGGACAATGGCAAATGAGTGAGAAGAGATCAGACGCAACTCTCTAGGTACCACATTCTCGTAGGATGGTGTAAGCATGTCCTTCCTGATAGATTACATCAACAGCTAACAGTGAGCACTTACTATGTGCTACCTTGGGTTAACACAAGTTGTCACCTCATGCATGCAGGCAAAGGGAGGGCAGGAAATTAAGTTTCTGGATTGAGCAAGTGATGGGTATCCCATCACACCAAGAAAGCAACTCTGGGGAAGATGTGAAAGTCAGTTTGAACTGTGTAGCATCTGACGCATCACATGATGTCCTCATAGAGGAGCTGGAGGCCAGATCTGAAAGGCAGCGAGGGCACTTGAGTGGAGATGGACAGCTGAGAGCTGTCAGTGTCATCAGGGTGGGTGGCTAGACTTAAGGAGTGGAGATGGCCTACAGAGTATGCATGAGGACAGGAAAGGGGCAAGACAGGCAGGCATAGGAACAGAGGCAAAGGTGGAAGAGACTGAGGAGGAGTGGCCATTGGCCAATGGTGGAGGCAGGAACTTGCAGTTTGCAGAGTCAGGGCACAGGAGGGCACAGCATAAACCAGTCATGAAATCAACTCAGAGCCAGGCACCAGTGGCTCACGCCTGTAATCCTACTACCCAGGAGGCTGAGATCTGAGGACTGTGGTTCCGAGCTAGCCTGGGCAGGAAAGTCCATAAGACTCTTTTCTCCAGTTAACCACCAAAATGCCAAAAGTGGAGCTGTGGCTCAAGTGGTAGAGCCTTGAGTGAAAATGCTGAGAAATAGTGCCTAGGTTCTGAATTCAAGTTCTGAATTCAAGTATAGGCACACACAAAAAGATAATTTCAGACTATAGAGGCCAGAGTTTTGGCAGATGACCAAATATAGCAAGAGGGAATAAGAAAAAGAGAAGGAGAGACAAAGGGAGGATGGGCTAGGGGAAAGAAGGAAGAACAAGGAAGGATTATTTTGTAAGCTGTATATCTTACTATGGGTCCCAAACAAAACTGTTAAAATCCTGGTGGAGGTTTTGTGTCCAAGAAGCTCAGACCCTAGAAGTCTGTGAATGTCATACTGATTTTGAACTTCATTCTGTAGGGCATAGAAGCATGGAAGACTTGTAAGGGGAACAGAAGAATAATGTAGAATCTCTTATCATTAATACTGGGTAGGGCCTGTTACCTGCATTGGCCAGCAGGTGGAGCCACAGGGATAAGAAGGGGAAAGAACCAGCCAGTCCTTAAACACTTCTGAATTGAAGTCAGGCAAGAAACCCATAAGCTTTAAAGTTAACCCTCCAGCCCCGCCACACGTGTGGCAGTGAATCTCCAGGAACTGAGTCAACCATGGGCCATAAAAAAAAAAAGTATGGAGCCAGGTGCTAGTGGCTCATGCCTATAATTCTAGCTACTCAGAAGGTTGAGATCTTCTGAGGATCATAGTTTGAAGCCAACCTCAGGCAGGAAAGTCCTTGAGACTCTTATCTCTAATTAATCACCAGATGGGCTGGGAAGGTGGCTCAGTGGTAGAGTGCTTGCCTTTCATGCATGAGGCCCTGGGTTTAATTCCTCAGCACCACATAAGCAAAAAGAAAAAAAGCTGGAAGTGGCGCTGTGGCTCAAGTGGTAGAGCACTAGCCTTGAGCTGAAGAGCTGAGGGACAGCGCCCAGGCCCAGAGTGCAGGCCCCACGACTGGACCCCCCCCCCAAAAAAAAATCACCAGAAAACAGGAAGTGGTATTGTAGCTCAAAGTACTAGAGTGCTAGCCTTGGGCTAAAAAAGCTCAGGGACAGCACCCAGGCCCCAAGTTTAAAAAAAAAGGAAGTAAGAAGGCAAGATGGCTTGGTATTTCATTTTTTTTTCTTTCTTTTTTTGGGGGGGAGGGGTCCGGTCGTGGGGCCTGAACTCTGGGCCTGGGCGCTGTCCCTCAGCTCTTCAGCTCAAGGCTAGCGCTCTACCACTTGAGCCACAG